ATGGATGGAACTTAAACGCTTCTTCTGGATGGAGGTTGTTTCTGGTGTAAAATGGCGTTTTAGAAGTTCCAGACAAAGCTACAGCCACGTATCCGAGGTCCCACAGTGTAGCTCAGGTTGGACTATGTTGATGCATGCTGGGCAGCAGATACGTCTCTTTCTCCGAGCAGCATTTAGAATCATGAAGCTTTTCAAAATCTCAGGTTACAGAGTTTTCAAGTGACTAACAGCCTGAGTAGGAGAAGCACCTTAAAGAGCCCATATTCTGAACATTTACTGGTCTATAATCACATTTTTATGAGTCGACAAAAACATTTCTACAAGCTTTAACGTTCTTTAAACACCATTTTCCCCTCATACTGTGCATTACTGTAGCACCTCTTGTCTCAAAGCTCTGTTTTAGCTGCTGCCTCTTTAAGGCCCGCCTCCCGAGCAGCACAGTCTGCTCTGATTGGTCAGCTGGTCTGATGTAATGTTGGTTACGTACCTGGACTACAGCTCTGAGTGGAGGGATGTAGCTCTACAGAGGGAATCATGAGGAAGCTTCTTTGTTTGAGGGCCAGGCTAGCCGCTAAGCAGGTGTTATGCAAATGTGGTACGTGGTGATGTAAATAAGTGACAGAAGAAAAGCTTGGACTTCAAATGAGGTGTTTGACTTTAACACCCACAGCATTGCTTTATAAAGCAAACATGTTACACACTACAGCAGGTTTTTGGCTCCAAAAAAACGTCAGATTATAGAGTTTTTAACTGAAAAACGACGTTTTGCTGTCAAGACTTTTCTGAGTATAAAGTGTTTCTCACTACTGAAGGGCCAAGTGCTGCTGCACTGGAGATTTCTGGTTTAGTGTACGAGGGGAAAAAAACTCATTTTGAGGAAACAGCCTTTCAAGATGAAGAGTTCATTTGCAAAAGCAGAAACACAAACCTCCAGAAAACCCACTTCTCCATCGTCTACCTGAGACAACATCAGTCAAACTTAGGTTATCTCTATTTTTGTCATTCCTACCGAGTCAAATCCACTCAGTTTGATTGATATCATCTAAAGCAAAGAACAAAAAAATAGCTTTCTGAAAATGTACAAAACTGGAGTTGTCTGTTTGCAAATTAACTCTTCAGATGTGTATTATGAATGTAATCCACAGACAAATATAGACAAAGATAAATGTATACATGTGCAATTTGAATTTTTTTCTTATCTGCTGGTCTAAAAGCAGACACGTCATGGAAGCCAAACATCCCAAAATCTCTAAATTGCCAGTGCATTTTGTCTGTAACGTCACCCCATGAGATAGATATAAAACCTTCTAAAAACGCTATACAAACCTTTAGCTCGTTGAAACAGAAAGAGGACAGACAGATGAATGAGCAACTTCAACTGTGGCTTTTTTTGTTGCTCATGTTGTGTTGTATTGAGCCTCTGTAGGTCCAGTCACCACATTGTTAATAAAATAACTATAATTAACCTAATTTCCCAGCCCTGTTATTCCAGAGGTGGAGTCCTCAGACGTCCACGAAGGCTTCAGTAAGTCGCCGTCATTTCCAGCGTTCGCACTGAAGCCAGCTGGATAATGAACATGTGTCTGCTGGAGCCCCACAGCCGCTGAAAGGTTACGTTCATTAAGGCGACCCGCGAGGCCTCGGCCGGCCGCTCGGCAGGCGTGTGATTTATTGCCTCGCTGCAGGACGTTGGGATGGCTGCCGTCTTTTATTTACTGCACATGATGAAAATGATGAATCTGCCTCGCTGACTGTTTGTCTCCGTCTGTCTGTCTGTCTGCAGTGAACATCGCCAACAGCCAGGAGTGGACGCTGAGCAGATCCATCCCGGAGCTCAGACTGGTGAGGCCTCACACGACGCAGACGTTTACACAATTTACTCGCAATTTATTACATTTAGTCGCAATTCTGCTGTAAGGGTGCTACTAATTTGACCAATTTCAAGTCATGTGGAGGCGGTGAGGAGGATGTTGTTGAAGAATATTAATTTTTAGCAAATTCTAAGTGGTATTTCAAACCAGAAAGTACAGTACAGAGAGCGTTAATCAGCCCTGAGATGTGTCTTTCAGGCAAGGCAAAGCACAAATATCCATTACAAGCAAAAGTCATGCATCACAAAGCTTACTTAAAAGCAAAAAATACACAAGTATGAGCAAGAAAATGCACATTTGAGCACTAAAAGTAAAAGTTCTCAGTGCAGTAAAAGGATCCACTCGCAATTAATTAACATTAACTCGCATTAACTAAACATTGGCAAAAAAAAAATATATATACACATGAAAATATACATAAATGTTGTTAATATTGTACCGATTCTTCCTTAAGTGAAAATTCAGGTACTGCAAAGGTTCCTCTGACTGTGGAAAATTAGATAATGCACAAATCTGTGTACAAATAAACAACATTAATCCACAGATTGTTGTTTATTCAGAAGAAATTGATATTGTGGAGTTTTTTATGTGCAAAACATTCATAATGCACAGTTTGATATATTAAATAAAACAAAATGTAGTGCAAAAAAAGAAGAAGTATAATACTCCACATTAAGTGTGGTTGAGTATAAAGTGTTCTAAAAATAAATGAATAAAATACAAGTACCCGAACTCAGTCCACTGCCTGAACCTGAGAGGTTAAACGCAGGGCAAAAAAACCCACGAAGCCCCTCCGTCTCCT